TATAAATATAGATAAGGTTTTCCCCTAGGTACTCTAGTTTTTCTTTACCTTATAATTAGTAGAGGTATTAGATAGGTTATTTAGCCTAATTAGTATATAAGAATTATTATTATTATTATATTATTATAGAATAGTCTAAAGGGGGTTACTTATAAGGCCTTCCTTATATTCTATAACTATTATATATAGCCTTAGCCTTATTATATATATACTAAAGGTAAGGATTACTAGCTATCTTAATAGCTATTTAATTACTACTATTCTTACTATTTATTATAAAACTAGCTATAGATATTATATAGCCTAGATAGGTATTATACTACCTAATCTAAATATAGTATATAAGGTATATTATTCTATTTCTACTTTATAAGATTTCTTATTATATCCTATTACTTTTATAATACTATTATAAGCTATAAAGCTATAGTATTTAGTATTAATAGTAATAGTAAGTTATAAATTATTAGGTTAAAAGAGTTATATACTATTTAAAACTATACCTACTAGTCTAATTTATAAGCTTATATATCTCTTAATACTTATAGAGTATATATTTTAATATTATAGCTATTATATATATTTATTAAAGTATATTAGGCTTTTACTAGGTCTTTAATAGCTTCTATTATTAGCTTTTATTATCTTTTAATAAAATTAGTATAGATATTCTCTATAAATATATTATAAAGTAGTTACTAGTTTATTATAGTAAGATAGCTATTATACTATTAGGTAGTTTTACTATATAAATAGGTTATTTAAATATTCTTAACTTACTACTTACTATAGCTAATAATATACTATTTAAGTTAATCTATAAATATATAAATATAAATAAAGGTTAGATTCTTATTAACCTTTATAACCTACTTAGTTCCTTATTTATCTTAATATTTAAGGTTAGGATTAAAGAAACTAATATTATTTTTCTAAAGCTTAGTTAGCTTAAGCTTATTAGCTATTATTAATACTATTATAGATATTACTAGTATCTCCTTATAGTAATATACTAGGGTTATTTCTATAATAATAGCTATCTATATTAAGGCTACTAAAGAGAGTATACTAATATCCTATATAGGTAGTAGGGGGTTACTTAGAAGGGGTATACTTCCTATCTAGCTTATTTAATAATAGTTTATTTATAGATTTTCTATTAAGGTTATTTACTATTTAATATCTATCTATATATAATAAGATAAGCTAATTTCTTTAAGTTAGGTAATAAAATTTAAGAAGTTTAGAAAGGATATTAATAAGGGGGTTAAATAGGAATAGGTTTATATTAAGAAGGTACTTAATAGGCTAAATATATAGGCTTAGCTCCCTTCCTTTTACCTTCTCTATATTTACTCTTTAAATAAGCTAATAAGTTAAGTCTATATTACTTATCTTTTTACTTTTTACCTTTCTTACTCTTCTTATTATACTTATTCTCCTCTTTAATATAGCTTAGGTCTTATTAAGAATAGCTCTATATAGGCTTAGTAGATAAGCTATTTTATAAGGATTATATAGTTTCTTATAGGTATATATATATTTATATAAGTTCTTTAGGCTTTTAGAATAGTATATACTATACTTAAGTTAAAGGAAGTCTTTTCTTACTTATCTATTTAGTTTTATATATATATAGTATAGGCTAGCTAGCTTATAATATAGACTAAATAACCTTTATCTATTTCTATATATAGTAGTTTAGTATTTATATATTTATTTATTTATTAAATTACCTTAATTAAACCTTATAGTTCTTCTAGTACCTTAATAAACTTATAAGTACTAGAAAAACTATAGTAGTAGATTCCTTATACTAGTACCTTACTATACTAGGTATAAACCTAGGGCTACCTAGGTAAAAACTAGCCTTTTCTATATACTAATCTACTATTATATAATAATTCCTAGTAGGTTTAATAGTATTTAGTATTTCTTAGTAAGTAGGTTCTTAAGCTACTACCTTAATCTATATTCTTTTATATCTTTTATTAATTATTAACTATTTAGGTATATTAATTTTATTTACCTCTATATATATATCTAAATAGTAAAATAGTTCTTTACTATTAGCACCTTTTATAAGGTTATATATTATAGTATTTATATAGTTTTTAGCCTTACTATACTATAAAGGCTAATTTAGTATAGTAGTTAGTATATACCTCTTTAGCTTTTTACCCCTAACCTACTTTATAGTTACCCTATTTATATCCCCCTTATAAGTTAGTTATAAGGCTAGGCTATACTACTTAACTTTTAGAAAGAAATTATTTAGGGTGCCTCTAGCTAGATTTAAACTAGCGATCTATATACTAACCTATATAGAACTCCCTACTATAGAACCACTATACTATAAAGGTAGTAGTTTAGTATTAATATACTACTTAGCTTATTAAAACTAGTATATTTTAGCTAGTATTTAAGTTAACTAACTTAGCTAGATTTACTTTTATAATACTAGTATTAAGGGGGGGGGGATATAGTTTAGATTAAATTAAGAGGGAGGGGGGTATAGTTTAGTATATTAGCTATAGTTAATTATAGGTATAAAAAAGAAAAAAGAAAAAAAGAAAATAAATATTACTATTAATAAGAGCTTTAAATTTAATAAATTTTAATAGTCTTTAATAATCTTACTAATATTACTACTATTTTATTAGGTATAAGAGTTTTAGTAAGATAATAATATATTCTCTAGCTGCTAAGTAGGTGGCTTATGGCCCTAAGTAGTGCTGTGCACGTGACACTTTCCCTGGCGATGAGCGCACTGTAGCGAGCCACCTATATACCCAGGTAGTAGGTACTAGGTGATAATCGCGAGCACTTGCTGTACTGGGACAGGTTGGAGCCCTCATCATCAGGGCCTTCCTTGCTGTCACAGTCGACAAAGCGCAGATTGGTGGCATGGCAATTAGCAAGTCACATTTCACTCACTGGCAAATAGTAGGCCCAATCTAGTCGCCAAAGGCCACTCCAATCACATCGACAACTACCTAGTTATCGAGGACCGCCCAAGTTCATTGCCACCGCTGGCTCCTCGGTGTCGACGATCTGATAAGAAGCATTCGGCAAGGGCGCATGCCCCTGTCCTGACGCGCAATCCACTTTGGCACCTTTTGGGCACTCAAGTGAGAAATTGCGAGCACGCCTGAGATTTTTCCTTCAAACGCGCATCAATAAGACATACTCCAGCCATGTTACGAGAGCGCAGCTACCCTCGCGATTATCAGATGGGAAAGCACACTCTGCTAAAGAGGGGCAACATAATTTGTACACGGCGACACCAATTAGCCAACCTCTCCTGCCTCTCCAACGTCGTAACGCCGAAGCAGACACTTCCTGCGCCGAGTCCGGCAGCTTCATTGCCGACAACATAGTTATTACCTCCTATTCATTACAAGCGGCCTCCGCGCCCGATTGTAGCATCACAGGGATTACATTCGTTTTTTAGCCTACGGTATTCTTCACATTTAGAAACGCCATCAGAAAGTTATGTAAACCAATGTTTTACCAAAAGGGACACCTATCCACTATGTTGTCTGCACTAAACCATGCTGCTTCCGCGACGACCGTGCTGCGTCTGTCGCAGTTGATATATCATCCCCAGCACACCAGCATCTGGCTCGACAGTATTCGCCGCACTGTTCTCACGGCTCAAGCCTTTAGCCGGCGATGTCTCCCAAACAGATTCACCTAGAATTCCATCACCATCATCGACATCATCTTCGAATTCATCATCCGTCTTGACATGCACCTTTTTCGATAAAGCCTGTCCAGGCTCTTCGGCGATTCTGCTCTCTCCCAGTCTGAGATTTCGAGGTGCGCGCGACTTCGACAACCCTTTGGCGCCACGCCCACCACTAGGGAGATGATGGCGTGGGTCTAACAACATCGATGCCATTGGGGACGGCTGTGTTATTCCTACTAAACCTTTGGAGCTTGCTCTATCACCAGGCGAGTGCGGAAAATCGCGTCGTCCATCGGGTCGCCCAGCTTGAGACGTATGCAGATCCGCCGCCAAAGTCGGCGAGTTGAGACTTGGAAACGCGGGCGGTGGGTGGAACTGGTGCCTCGCCCCGGGAGGGAGATGACCAGGAATTCCTGTTCGTGGATTGATAACGTAGTTGTCCAGAAACCCATAGTATGAGGCTGCCATTTTCCCATGCTTCGTAGTGTAATAATCTTCCCGGACGTCCGGTGCCGGGCCTCGCTTCCCGTCGTTGCCTACTCCCTTTTTGAAATCAAATACGGCAAACGAGCAGACGTACCCGAGTCCGTCGACATGAATCGTAAATTCTCGGAAAAAATCAACTATCTGGTCGCTGCATTTCGGAAGGGCGAACAAGAGGAGCATTGGTGTCGTTATGATCCCCATCACTTCCTCCAGAAAGATCACGACCTTCATTTTATAAAGCTCAGCAAATTCCTTCTTCACTTCGAAGCTATGCAGTCTTCCTTCCCAGTGATCAGGCATATAGTGCGTATATTCGATGACGTTGCGCAGGGCATATTCGGGGTTGAAGACTGCAGTCTCTTCAGACACCATGCCTCGGGTCATAGCCCAGATGGCTCCAAAAATGCCCAGGTAGAACAGCACAGTCCTGTCCTTCGTGATTTCAAAGCCGAGAAACAATTCCGAGTCAAGTATTGTGCACACTGCTAGCACAGCAGTGATTGCGCCTGACATGAATGCTACACTTCTCGCTATATCTTCAGTCATCCTCTTCGGGAATTGATCCACGTATCGCGTTGCGAATGGGAAAGACATATGTAGCCTCTCATAGAAAATGTGCGGCAGCTCATTGAACTCGCGAAATTTCCATTCTGCAAGAGCGGTGTACTTCCTCGCCGCCGCGAGTTTGGGGTCCTTCTGGTACTCCTAATACAAAGGTTAACGAACAGTCAGGTGAGAATCGTAACATCACTCACGTTGTAGTAGGTGAAGAAGTAGACAATTATGACATATGCAAGGACAACTGGCGCGAAGACAAGATTCAGAATTCCGGCAAAAAAGAGCCTCTGTTTCAATTTCTCGCTCAAAATTCTTCGACGGTCGGCCCGAAGGAAATCTTGCTGCACTTGCCCGAGTTCATTGAAGGCCATGTCGAGGATGCCATAATGAAGGTACCACTCCATCGTCTTGGAAAACAGCTGCCTTCCTTGTAGAAACGGAATCGGTAGAGAGAGGTTTAACACGTCTTTGTTGATCATGGCAATGAGATAATTCTCTTTCCGCATGAGTCTGTTTGCAATATCATGAGCATCCAGTCTCTCCTTCGATTGGCTACCCATGAAGCGTCGCAGCCTTGCCGGTATATTTGTTGCCGTCTTGGGATTTTCTTCTCTCAGAGCCATGATCCTAGCCACGATATCTTGCCAGGACACAGTCTGCATGTCTTGTTCTGGAATTTCCAAAAGGCAGATATAGAACTCTCGTATCTGTACCAGGCGGCGTATTTCTAAGAAATACTGGACGCATTTCCAAATGAAGAAGAACGAGTATAGCCATATTCCGAGATTCCAGAAACCCGACATTTTTCGAGTGCATTGTGGAATGATAACTTGTTCCAAAGACTTGCTCGTTGACACCTTGCCATAGTCGACGCACTGGGTGAGAAATGTGAGAAGAATCGCGACAAACAGTGTTTCCCTGCAAGAGCGAATTAGTTACCAGTGAAGTGATGCAAGACTGCAAGCATGTCCTTACAGGAGCCAGAGTGCGTTTGAGCAAAGAATACACCACATGCCTCCCCCTTCGTAGTAGTCGTACACATCTCTCATGAAGCTGTCTAAGCTAGACGTATTTACCCATCTCCACAGAGCGCGTTCTCGCCTACTCCCAAGCCAAGTACCTGCCATCATGGAACGAGGCTGAAAGCTTGTATTAGCATCGTCCCGGTACAATCGCTGCTGTCGCTTGACTGTTTCCCATTGGGCTCTGCCCATCTCGGGCGATGGTGTTCTCCAAGATGTCGGCGCTGTCTGACCCTGGGCAGTCGTTCCCGCCATGGCATCCAGCCGCTGGACTGGTTCAGAGTTGTTCTCAACTAAAAGAGAAGCTGGAACATCTTCATCCAGGTCATCATCGTCGGCTGCCCAGGCAGTAAGAGCTTGTTTCCTCTTGAACTGGCGCTTGGAAGAAGGTGAGCCATTCTTCGGGCCGCGTCCGTCCATCGCGCTTCTCACAGTGAAACGACTTTCTCCTGTATTTACATTATCCACCTGCATATTTCTGAAATCATGTGTCAGGTTTTCATCGTCGAGGGCTCGCAGTCCCGCGTCTTCGAAGTCCGGAAGGTCATCATCTGGGGATCGAAGCTGTTCGTAGAACGATTTGGTGACATTTCGAGCTGAGGCGTCCATTTCGAGAGAGGATATTGTGTTGCCACGATATAGACTAGATGAGTGATAGTATCCGATTCTCAAAGCAAAAGGTCGGCCAAACCATCCGGTGATGGCTGCCAGTCGCGAAACAAGCTCCAGCAACGAGCATTCGAGAAATAGCTTGAAGTCAGCATGTGTAGGCGCTCACTCGCTTTGGTCACTATCACTTGATCATTCTAGCAACAAATCGATGGTTGTTTAAGACGCGAGATCAATGTCCAAGCCCGATGTTGCTGAGAAGGGTGACGAACGTCAGGTGCTTTGTTGGAAAGCACCCTCCCTTCCTAGGTAGGTAGTTTAGGTACCTAGGTACCTGTTGCCTGCCAACCTGCTTACCTGCCTGCCAACCTCATGTGCGCCAATGTGCAAGCAGGTCACGGGATCAACCAGAAAAAGCCTAGGTACTTCTATTTACGCGAATCTCACCTAAAATCATATACCTCGTCAATTCTGTAGTCATGTGGACAGTCCGGCTAGCAAAAAGAGTCGGTCCGGCTACCAGGTCTCTCCCCTGTTAACAAACAGGCCTCACTCGCGTAGGTAGGTACTACTAACCAGCGCACATTTGCACATTTTAACCGCCTGATTCTAGGTACCTAGTGAGTTAGGTTCCCACCTTTTCACTGTTTAATTTCTAGATGCTAACAGAACGGGCGCTGGCAAACAACGCAAATGGAGCCGTCGAAGTCTGCCTTTTGCGCCCTTATTACCTCGCTCGCGTGAGGATCAGCCCCGCACTTGCAGTTGGTACGTTTGTGAACCAAAAAGCCACCTCACCAAACTAACTGGTCAGAGTCGTGGGGCACTGGCGCACACCAGAAGTCGCATTTCACCAGCCGAAGCATTTCTCATTGAAAATTTAGCGCCGAGATTGTGATTCTGTTTCCTACTGCCCACTGCAGCATCATGTCACAGGCTGCGCCTTCAGGAATGAGCAACCGCAGCGAGCACCGAAGAGCAGGAGATGCACAGGGTCAGTCGGCCGTAACGAACAAGGGAACAAATCCTCTAGCCACCAAAGTATCAGCTGTCTTGTCTACGTCATACTCTGATGCAGAATTTCGTGGCACATTGGCTCTGATAGATCAACGCGGCATAAGAAACGATGGGAAAACACGGCGAAGACTCCGATTAGAACTGCAAAAAGATGTCATTGAGAAGAATGGCCGGATATTGGATGATTTTAGTACTGTATCAGAGGCAAGTCGAGCAGAATCATGTGGTATTCCGCTACTAACCGACACAGCAATTGAGACGTATCAAAACGATACTTGATAAACTCAATACCGATTATTCCGAGATGAAGCGCATGGTAGCTGCAGCACACAGCGAAATGGAGCCGTCACTTGCAGAAGCATCGGCTCTGCTTGAGAAGCGAAGAAACACTGAAAGGCGACGGCACCTGCTACAAGCTCTACGTGATCGATTCGTTTTATCCGAAGATGAAGAATTGGCGCTTACCTCAACTGTCGAGCCTGTAAATGATGCTTTCTTTGCCGCCCTTGCGAAGGCCAAAAAGATCACTCAAGATTGTGAAGTACTCCTCGGTTTTGAAAGGCAGACCTTGGCTTCTGAGATTATGGAGAAGGCATCACAGAATATTGGATTTGCCTACCAAAAGCTGTACAAGTGGGTTCAGCGAGAATTCAAGATCCTTGATCTCGAAAACCCCCAAATGAACGCTACCATGAGAAAGTCTCTCACAGTGTTGGCCGCCCGACCCTCGTTGTTTCAAAATTGCCTCGACTTCTTTGCAGACGCAAGACAGCATATCTTGTCTGGCTCGTTCTTTAATGCTCTGACTGGGGATAGCGCCAGTGAAGGTTCTGCTGCTGTCAAACCGATCGACATGATTGCACATGATCCTCTCCGCTATGTCGGCGATATGCTAGCATGGATTCACTCGGCCGCAGTCAGCGAAAGAGAAGTTCTGGAAGTTCTTTTTATTGCCGACGGCGAGGAAATCGTCAAAGGTATCAACAGCGGCCGAGACGCTGAGTTGTGGCGCATCATTTCGGATGGTGAAGACGAGGAATTCAACACATTAAATGCATTAAACAACCTAACCGACAGAGACGTGTCTGGCGCAGCTCGTATACTTCGACAACGAGTAGAGCAAGTCATCCAAGCTAACGAGGATCCGATCTTGGCATACAAGCTAGCAAATCTTCTCAAATTCTACGGCATCATGCTCCTCAAATTACTCGGACCAGACTGCCGTCTTCTAGACTCCGTTCACAGCATGGAAAAGGAGGCCATGAGACAATTTAGGGCTTTACTCCGAGAACACATTTCTGCTGTTCGAGCCGAACCCCAAACTATTCCCTCTGATCTAAGCCCGCCAGTGTTCCTGCAGGATGCCCTCAAGCAGGTTCAAGTCATGCTGAGCACCTACGAAACATCTCTGTCAAGTACTGAGAGCGGGGAAGCCGGGCTCGAAGAAGTCCTGACTGAGGCGATAGACCCCTTTATTCTCGACAGTGAAGCTTTAGCAAGGTCTTTGCCACTCCCACGCAGTTCTATATACCTGATCAACTGTCGCCTGGCTGTTTCGAATTATTTCAAGCAAAGCAACTTGACGAGCAAACGGGGAGAGCAGATCAGAACATCCATCAATGGAGAGGCAGCAGTCCTTACAGACTCTCAATTGGATTTCTTCCATCAAGGTTCAGGCCTGTCTGATGTAATAGCGACGATAAAGCAACGCGGACATTATGACGTCGACTTCATTACAGCCAGCAAGCTTTCTGCTTCGAGCAGTGAATTGGATCACTTTCTGCCATCAGCATATATTGATGCACTGGAGCGTCTCGGCGAGCTGCAGGACTTGGGTATTGCGCGAAAAATAACAGATGAAGCTGCTGAGCGCTTTTGCACAGACTTTGAGCTACTGGAGAAGTATATTGACGGACTGTGTGCAAGCCAGGGGGACAGCGATGGAAATGGCAGTTTCCGAGCCGTGTTCCCGCGCACAGCAAGTGAGATTCGGGTATTGCTGTCGTAGTCCAGATGGGCATGGTCATATGGACAGCTCCCAGCCATCACGTAATTATTAGCGTACGTACCTAGAGAGGTAGTTGTACCTTCAGAGAAGGGCTGTCCAGGAACCCATGATGACGCCCGAGACATATTTCTTAGAAATTATGAGAGAATGCCTACTTAAAAACAACAATCGACTTGGATAATTTTATGAGCTACGTCCTTGTGTGACGTGTCCCTACTTGTTCGAGGTTCGAGATCCTTCCCATCACTATTCTTTATTAAGAGTTTAAGAAAATGGTCAGTCTGCCCCGCTACCTGTTACCTACCTTGTCAATTAGAACTGATAGTTACCAGATGCTAGGTCAACCCGAACGCAGTTTTGCAGTGTATTGACTACCTACAAATTACAAGTGACTGGTTGCACCAAGCCCTTACGTCACCAGCCAGACTACCTACCCACCTAGCGCACAAGCACGGGACGTGCCTGGGCACAACAAGAAACGAATCCGGGTCGGGTAGGTTTAGGTTTTGACAACACTCTCCGCGGCACCAGGACTGGCTCCCAATACCACGATCCGGCATTCTTCTTCAAAGCTACCATCGCGCAACCCTCGCCAGCCCGGAGCATAGCCAACGCTCATATCGACTACTATGTGCATAACACCTTTGCAATGTTGCGCAACCGAGTATTTACCGCTCTGCAGAAGACGTACGATGAAAGCTACTTGAGCTGCTCCACAGCAGTCTACTACGAGAGTCAGGTAATTTTGTGTACGAATTTACATGCTAGAAGAAAGCTGATTTTTCGCGCTGCAGGGAGACGAAACCGAGGCTCTGAGGCACTGGCGCAATGCCATCGCCCTAATATACGAACATAACGCAACCAAAGCGATTCCAGGCTATGGACCTCAGACTGATACCGAGAAGGCGCTTGTCGATGCTTTGAAGGAATTAGAACTCCAATGCAAGGAGAGGCTCGATCTTTTGGAGGCGCTAAAGGCGTCCAGGGAAGACGAAACCAGCTCTGATACGGGCGGCAAAACTTCCAAAACGCCCAGCCCATTTGATTCACCCACACGATCAAAGGGCTCGATCGGAAGTGGTACAATCCCCGCGGTTACATACTCTCAACTATCACGTCCTGTTCTTCCGCCACGGCCACCGCTACCCATTCGCACATTGTCGGAGATCCCGCAGTCTGGAGAAAGCTCACATGCCAGCGATGCCATATTTCACACCCGGTCCGGTTCTAGACCACCAGCTCTGAGCGTGCCGCCAAAATCCGATCGAGCATATCGATCACCCAGCCCCGAAAAACACACAATGCGCACGACCCTTCGCTCTTCCAAATTTGGCGAAAAGGGGTCAGCACCTTCACGGAAATCAGCGCGGCCGGTAGCTGAGGGGTCAAGCAAGGCGGCAACCCTAGCCTGGAGCGCTCTTGGATCGCGAGAGCGTCTTCAGCGCACACCGCCTGCTGAGAACATGTCTTCGACATCCACGAACAACTCTAAAAAGGTCGCAGAGCATCTTTTCAAAAAAAGATCAACGTCGACACAATGGGACAGCCACTCCAGAAGACTCGTTCAGCCAAAGGATATAGATGGTAGTACAAATGGTCAATCGACCGGCGCGCGGCACTCTGACGAATACCCGTACACGAACCCATCTTTCCTATCTGTGAGCGCAGCGTCTAGTGCACTTAGCTCAACAGCCCAGCTGGAATCGCAACCAACGGAAAGTACTTCAGCTCGTCTGGAGCGTCACCAGCCTTCTCGTCCTTTAGTCAGGCAGCAGAAACAGGAGCATTTTAACGGATCGAGAACGGCAGATGAGTCTGGAGAGTGGTCAGACAGACGCAGCGCATCTGGTGCTCCGATGCGAAGAAAAGTAGTGACAAGACAACCCGGTGCCAGTGCAGCAACGCAAAGCACGATCAAACCGGAACAAACAACCCGACATCGCCGGCGGGATCGACCCAAGACGAGGCATGCATCTGTATCCAGTATTTCGGGGGATGATGCAGAAGGTCACAATGTGAAATCAAACAATAACACCTCTGCCAATCGTGGCATTGCCCTGCGTCCAGGTGCTACTACTAATAACTCGAGACCTTCAAAACGCAATGAAGACAAAAAGAAACCAGTGGAGGTTGACAACTCAAGCGAAACGTCGGAAGAAACCGAGGAGAGCATCGCCGAGAAGGCATGGAAAAGGAAGAAGGCATCAATTTTAAGAAATCTTCCCCTTGGTGTCGACGAGGGCGCAGCCAAGCAGATTCTGAATGACATTGTCATTAAAGGCGATGAAGTACGTTGGGGCGACATTGCCGGGCTCGAAATTGCAAAGAACGCGCTGAGAGAGACTGTCGTTTACCCATTCCTGCGTCCTGATCTGTTCATGGGTCTACGAGAACCAGCTCGAGGTATGCTTCTATTTGGGCCGCCAGGAACAGGTAAAACTATGCTGGCCAGGGCGGTGGCTACCGAATCGCGATCTACATTTTTCTCCATTTCAGCAAGCAGTTTAACGAGCAAGTATTTGGGAGAGTCAGAGAAGCTGGTTCGAGCTTTATTTGGTCTAGCACGCTCTCTGGCGCCAAGTATCATCTTCGTGGATGAAATCGACTCTCTCCTTTCCCAACGGTCCGGCTCGGGTGAGCACGAGGCGACCCGTCGCATTAAGACTGAATTTCTTATTCAGTGGAGCGACCTTCAAAGAGCCGCAGCTGGACGTGAAACGACAGAGCGGGACAAAGAGCGCGGTGATGCAAACCGTGTACTCGTCTTGGCTGCAACTAACTTGCCATGGGCTATTGATGAGGCGGCGAGGCGGCGCTTCGTCAGGAGACAATACATCCCCTTGCCGGAGCCAACTACAAGAGAAACACAAATACGCACACTCTTAGGCCAACAGAAACATAGCCTGTCACCTGGCGACGTCCAGAGATTGGTGGGCCTGACTAATGGTAAGTTACGTGCCGTACCTCTCGTAGGGAATACCGCGAGCGTCTATCTCTAACAACAGTAGGTTTCTCCGGGTCAGACATCACAGCACTGGCAAAGGATGCGGCAATGGGGCCACTAAGGTCTCTCGGCGAGGCCTTGCTCCATATGACCATGGACGAAATTCGGCCGATTGGCCTGGTAGACTTCGAAGCAAGTCTCGGTACTATTAGACCTAGTGTAAGCAAGTCCGGTTTAAAAGAGTATGAGGATTGGGCACAGGAGTTTGGGGAGCGCGGCGGCTAGGCAGCTGGGACACTGTCAGCGGTTGGGATGTATCAGATGTACAAGGTTAAGAGTGATTAAATATATATTGATTCGATCAATAGTGGTCTTTTTTTCATTGGTCGCCGCAGCCGAGTTGATTATCCATTTACATGTTAATACGGCCTCAGCTTTCCTCTGTGAGTATATCTGTAGTCTAATCAATGTACAAAAGCCTGGGAGTCCAGAGAGATGATTCGCTAACCCCGGCGAAAACCGTAATACGAATGTAAGCAGAGCATATCCTCCCATAATCATACATGATGCAGCGATAATGTGTATTCGACGCCGCTCTTCCCTCAAAGCGACGATCTGACTCCTATCATGGACCGAACTTCACCATAAGCTGTTCCCATGCTGTGCGCTTCACTTCGCGCTCATCTGCAGCAACTTTTTTCTGGGATAGGCGCTGTTCATGTTCGGATTGCCTTCTTAAGGATTTTCGGTCATCCTTGGCATTCTTCTTGGTCTCCCTTTCCGCTATGATTTCATTCAATGATGGGACCACAGGTCTACTTTCGATCGGTTCTCCAAACGGAGCAATGATTTGTTTCACCACGTGCCGCTTATGCCGCGATGTTGGCCAGCCTGGTGCAATTGCGACGACATCGCCAGTTCGGAGCGAAGAATTTGGATCATGAACGAGGTAATGCTTGGGGTCGGCGTAGAACTGCAACAGTCGAGAAAAGCACGTTAATCAAATATCACCATCCAGTCATGTATGTGACAATTTACGCACCTTGTTGACAATTTTATTCCACTTTTGCCCTGCGACTCTGACCTTGACGGTCTTCTGCATCAAACCTGCGGAAACCACAACGCCATGCAGCTCATGGGTGACCCGGCGCGCAGCCTTGGACACTTGCGATGACATATCAAGGGCCAACTGCAGATTTTATGCCGAAAAAAGTGCGAGGCTATTGCTTGACAACGGAAGAATCTGAGCTGCTGCAACACACCCTCAACACACCCTGGAATTGGGTTGGCTGGGGAAAATAATATATTGGCCAATCACAGTCTACTGTAGAACAGTAATTCTTAGTCAGCACCCCACGTCAAGCGCTCCAGTACTAGTGGAACGGCACGTAGCTCCGTCAACTATTTTCTTCCTAGAAGTTGGCCAGCATCACTACCAATCTCAATTATTGAGGTCGCCTAACAGCACTTCAAAATTACAGCATTATCTTTTCTATTCGGAGATATGTCGTCCCCGGATCGCCGAGCAGGCTCAAAGCGGCCTAGTATGAGCCAATTGCTACTTGATTTTTACATGACGCCCTATGGAGTCAAAATACTAACTTGTGCTCCAAAATTTCTAGGAACGCAATCGCTACCGCCGCCGAAACTTCCCCAATTAGTCGCGGAACAAAGTACGCCTATTCCGCCAACGGACAAGGATTCGCAAAGACTTATCGTTGTGTTGTCCAACGCCAGTCTCGAGACCTACAAAGCGTCACACAGTACCACCAGTCGCACTGGTATACACCGAGAGGAAAAATACTCGCTGTTAAACAGTGATGAACATATCGGGGTTATGCGTAAAATGAACCGCGACATTAGCGATGCTCGCCCTGATATTACTCATCAGGTTAGCATGGCTCTCAGAAAGTCAAGATGGTGCTAACACTGAATGAAACAGTGCCTTCTCACCTTGTTGGATTCACCTATAAACAAAGCCGGGAAGCTACAAATCTACATTCATACTGCCAAGGGTGTTCTCATCGAGGTTTCTCCCTCGGTACGAATTCCTCGTACATTCAAGAGATTTGCCGGTCTCATGGTGCAACTGCTGCACCGTCTGTCGATTCGGTCCACGAACTCAAATGAAAAACTCCTGAGAGTGATTCAAAACCCTATTACTGATCACCTGCCACCAAATTGCCGAAAAGTCACGTTGAGTTTCGATTCGTCGCTAGTTCGTGTACGCGAATACGTTGAATCGGTTGGCTCCAAGGAGAGTATCTGCGTATTCGTCGGAGCTATGGCCAAAGGGGCGGACACATTCGCTGACTCTATGGTTGACGAAAAAATTTCCATCAGCAACTATTCACTTTCTGCCAGCGTAGCCTGTAGCAAATTTTGCCATGCTGCTGAAGACGCTTGGGATATCCTCTAGTCCGCTCCGCTCATCTTCAAGCCCTTGGCTTCCTCGTTGGGGAAATTTGCTCGGGTTCGCACAAAAGTGACACAAAGGCTGCTGTTGGGCTGATCATCGAACAACGCGAGCAGATTGAGGGCTCTGGTTCCTGATGCGCCCCCCAATAATCACAAGATAAACAGGGAAAGCACTGGGCTCTACCTGCCGGTCTGCTTGCCGGCCTGCATACCCCGTTTTCCAACTCGTTAGGTGTGCACAGGATGTGACCTGGACAGTACCCAACCTTGTTTCCTTTGGACATACGAACGGCAGAGAACTCAGGCCATGTCATAGGCACATGTAGCCAGGACCCGACCATGGCTGGTTGACCACAACATCCTTGGGCATGAATTCAGTCGTTAGCCATCGGAGTTAAAGTTCTTACTAGCCACATTGGCACTTCATCTCAGTGGTGGCGACAGTGGATGACAAGTGACTGGCCGTCTACACTGGGCACGACTGTTATGCAACAGCCACCTGGGCCATGGCTGAAGCAGCCCAAGTCAGTTTTCGTTGGAGTAGCTAGCATAGTGTACCAATGGCATGACAAACTCCCAATATACTTGCCACGTCGATATGGCCTACTTCTTTGAAGCTTTGCAACCAGCTGCCGTGCACATGTCCACTACTCACATGAGACTGCATATGCACGTTTGGTTGGGCGCCGACGGCTGCAAAACTGCCCAAAAATAGACCCATTTTACCTATCAACTGGACCACAACATCTCACATCCTTCGGAATCCATCTTCCCTGGCAACTCGTTAGGCATACACACATGAATCACTCCGCTTTTTTATGCAGCTGAGAAGTGTAACTTGGGTGATCGGTGAGGTAGAGAAACTACCTATCCTATGCTTGTTGAAAACAATAAATATTCGTGCACCTTTAACAACAGGAGCATCACCACCACTGCCTTCTACCACCATTCTCTCGCACGGTAGTCGTACATGCAAGCAACATGCCGCTCCCGTGTATCGAAGTGTCACAATTAGCGCCGTCGACCTCTTTCTACGCCGCTGTCCTTCAGCCTCTTGGTATTCGCTATTTGACGTCGGAAAGTGTAGCGTCCGGTCCTGATTTTGCAACCTTTGGTTGCTGTCAGGGTCCTGTTTTACATCTCCGCCAGATTGCACAGCCGACCGCGCTGCGACTATCGTCAATTCGACTCAGCGCTCCATCCCCTGCGGCGATCCTGGCCTTCCATAGGCAAGGCATGGAGGCAAATCCAGGGTCCATCTTCACTGCCAACAGTCCTGTCAATCACTCAGCGATATTCGATCCTGACGGTAACATGATGCAAGCTGTCTGCACTGGACATGTTTGCCGGCCTGACATGATCACTGGCCAGTATGCTCTCGTATTAAATCCGCAACAAGAGACACCCCTGTGCCACATCCTCGATCGGAATAGTAGCACACCTGAGCCCTCTACCGCTCCGGTCGTCGAAAGGGGTGGCAGTACGAATGATGCGTCCGAAAACCGGAATTCGCCTGAAGGAGTTGATTCTATTCAGAGAGAGACCGGAAAAGCCAGTACCCCAAACAGTGGCATGTCTACCGTTCTGAGTGCCCTCATAGGGGTGGCCGCCGGCGCAGCGGCTGGTGCAGCCATCACATATGGTGTCATGTCGGCTAAAACACCTCAGTTGGTTCCAACCCAGATGATAGCGAGACAAGGGTCTCTCGCCAACGATACCAATAGCATATCGCCCGAGTTGGTTGATCGAGATCCGCAAACCCCAATTCCACTGAGATCGCATCGAATTACATTTCAAGAAGATCAACCATCAACGGTGAGGAAGCCACCAACTCTGCCGCCGGCATCAACTTGTCCACCGGCATCTATTCGCCCGCCGGCTTCAGTTCGTCCGCCAGCCTCAACTTGTCCGCCAGCTTCAGTTCGTCCGCCAGCATCAACTTGTCCGCCAGCGTCAGTTCGCCCGCCAGCATCAGTTCGCCCGCCCACGTCCGTTCACGAAAGCAATGTCCTCCAAACCCGCAGCAACGATACTGGAGATGGTCAAGAAGACAAAGGAAAGGAGCTAGTCAAAATTTCCAGCGATGCAGGGCTTCCTCCCTCGAAACCGAGTTCCACCGTATCAACTCGACAGCTTACGCTTCCACCACCAGCCAGCCCGTCTTCGGAGACACAGACAAGTGTCGCTAAGGGTCCATCACCTAGGAAAGACCACGAGACAGTCGTTTCAGCCCATTCGCGAGTTCCCTCCTCGTCTACTACCCCTGCTCAAGTGTCAACAAGAAGCAGCGAACTCTTAACGACGGTAGCTTCTTCAGTGTCAAAACGTGCTCCTAGAGATGCACCAAGTAAACACGATTTTCATCTAAGAAGCATCGATAACAAATCTTCCGTCTCCGAACGGTTACCAGAGCCACGGTCAAGGGGGGTGCCCTCCCCCCAGCCACGTTCTATAACCGAAGTGTCGCAACGCTCCTCCAGCTCTGCTCCGGGTCGATCTGACATGAGCGAAGTTTCGGAGGCACGAGGCCATGCATCCGGTAGGAAGTCGGATGTATCCGCCTCTCGCCACCACAACAGCGACGATAAACGCAGTCATGTCTCAGCAAAGAATATACCACTCCCCGAGAGTCGGTGTACGAGCGAGTTCTTCGACACAGAGAGCCATACCTCTGACAAGACGGTATCCGCTATCCGCCATCACAACAGCGATGATAAGCGCAGTCACGTCTCCGCAAAGAATATCCCACTTCCCGAAAGTCGGTGTACGAGCGAATTCTTTGACACACAAAGCCAT